CCTTAAAGTTGTTTTAAAATTTGAAACATTACTGCACCACATGAAGTAAGAACACAAAAGCTCTATTAACAGATACCCCCCTCTGGCCACCAATGCCCATTTAACTCTTCAGAGGAAACTAGTATTAATAGTTTGGTATAATCGGCTCGGCGCCTATAGCTCAACCGGCTAAGGCGCCAGCCACGTACACCTAAGGTGGCAGGTTCGAATCCCCAGCCCGGACCCGCCAAACAACAATGACGGCTGCAACCAAAAAATAGCCAGGTGTTGTGGCAGGCGCCTGTAGTCCCAGCTACTTGGGAGGCTGAGGCAGGAGACTCACTTGAGCCCAGGAGTTGGAGGTTGCTGTGAGCTGTAATGTCACGGCACTCTACCCAGGGGGACAGCTTGAGGCTCTGTCTCAAAAAAAAAAATAGTTTGGTATAATCATATGCAGATTCTATATGTGTATTTCTATTTATTTATACACATATGGATGTGCATATATACACACAAAGATTTTTATTTTTATTATTTTTTGAAACAGAGCCTCAAGCTGTCACCCTGGGTAGAGTGCCGTGGCATCACAGCTCACAGCAACTTCCAACTCCTGGGCTCAAGAGATTCTCTTGCATCTGCCTCCCAAGTAGCTGGGACTACAGGCACCCGCCACAATGCCAGGCATTTTTTGGTTGCAGCCGTCATTGTTTGGCAGCCCAGGCTGGATTCGAACCCACCAGCTCAGGTGTATGTCGCTGGCACCTTAGCTGCTTGAGCCACAGGCACTGAGCCAACACACAAAGATTTTTAAGAATAATTCTACTCCAAACAAGAACCTATCAAAACCAGAAAATGATTTTTTTTTTTTAAATGTCGTCCTCAATAGAGTGCTATGACTCCACCGCTCACAGCAATCTCAACCTTTTGGGCTTAAGTGATTCTTTTGCCTCAGCCTCCCAAGAAGCTGGGACTATAGATGCCCACTACAACTCCCAGCTTTTGTTGTTGTTGTTGTTGTTGTTGCAGTTTTCATTGTTGTTTTAGCTGGCCCGGGCGGGGTTCAAACCTGCCAGCCTCAGTGTATGAGGCTAGTGCCCTACCCACTGAGCTACAGGCCTCACCAGAAAATGATTTTTGAGGGCAGAATAAAATGGTAGTTGTAAACAATGAAATAGATACAATCTCTGGAAATGATCATTAAGTCTGATAAAAATCTACCATGATAAGACAATATAATGCTTGCCGTGATGCACCGATTCCCCTCCAGGACTGAAGGATTTACTCCCTCACCTGTTGGGGGGCTGCTGGCTGACAGCTGCAAAGCTTAAGAGAGCTGCCTTGACCAAGGTGAGGCTGGGGCAGGGAAGCTAGCGCCCCCTAAAGGATCAATGTGAAAGTGTAAAGGTCAGGCCCCCTTGCTGCAGTTAAGACTGATGGACTGTGCCAGCTTCAGGGTATGGTGTGGGGTCAGTGGAGGAGACCCCACCGAGACGGCATGCCAGCCCCACTTTCTTCCTTTACCCCACACCTGTGTCTGGCCCGTTGTTCCTCTCCTCCCCCCTCTGCTCCCCATCCCTTCTACTTCCCCATCAATACCCAACGTGCTAATCTCAGAATCTGCTTCCCTCATAACCTAAGCTGCAATACGCACTCAGGCAAAGTTGGGCTATTAAGACACTTTTTTTCCCCTCCACAGCTGCTAAATTGATCCAGGCTCCTAGTTTTTCAAAGAAAATTCCTAAAAATCAAGAAACCCGACAAATGTGTATTTCAATTCAAGTCACTTTTTCACATGTGTGCAAAACCTTCACAATTCTATGGGGAAACATATTTCAAAACTAAACACTTAAGTTTGGGGGGGAGAACGCAGATAAGCTGTTATGTAAACTGTCGGGGAACAAGGAGCACTGCCAACAGGTGCTCAGTAAGTGAGCGCTGAGCTGAACAAAAAAGGTTTTCGGTAGATTTGTTTGGTGTTCATGGCTGGATGAAGGCTGGATTTCTGTCTCTCTGCCTTTCCTTCCCCCCTCCCCCCGCAGAGTTTCACTTGTCCCCTGGGCTAGAGTGCAGTGTCATCATCATAGCTCACAGCAACCTCAAACTCCTGGACTCCAGAGATCCTCCTGCCTCAGCCTCCCAAGAAACTGGGGCTACAGGCACTTGCCACCAGGCTCAGCTAACTTTTCTACTTTTAGTAGAGATGAGGGGGGAGTGTCCCACTCTTGCTCAGGCTGGTGTGGAAGAACTCCTGACCTCAAGCAATCTTCCCGCCTCAAGCAATCCTCCTGCTGTGGCCTTGCCGAGTGTTAGGATTACAGGAGTGAGCTACCCTGCTGGCCTCATTGCCTTTCCTTTTGCTTCTTTTGGTCTCTCCCTTAGTTTCTCTTTCACTCCCTTCTTCCTCATCTCTTTTATCTTTTTCCTTTTCAGTTGCGCTCCGTTTTACTTCTCACTGTTCCAATCCCTGGCTCTTCCGTCTCTCTCCTAAAATCCCTCACATTTCACATCAGAGGAGCAGACACAGAAAGTGCTGCCAGGACAGGAGGGGGCAATTTTGATGACTTGGCTCAGTGAGAGGGATTAGCACACCTATTCGGTTCAGTGAAGCAGAGGGCCAAATCCAGGTTAAAGAAGGAGAGATGACGGGGTAAAAGTGTGAGAGGAAGCAGAGTTGAACTCTCTTTCTTAGGCTTCAGGCACTGGAAGTAATAGAAAAGAGAACTTTTCTTTTTGCAGTTTTTGGCCGGGGCTGGGTTTGAACCTGCCACCTCCAGCATATGGGTCCAGCGCCCTACTCCTTTGAGCCACAGGCGCCACCCAGAAAAGGGAACTCTTAAGCACTGTAGAGTTGTGTGGGAAAGTCAGTAATGGTGATGAGGGAAGCAGGGAGCAGGGGAAGCCTCCCAGAGGAGAGAGCATTTGAGCTGGCTCCACGTGCAAAGACATGGAGGTGCAGAGGTGTGTGTGATCCAAGGGGGTTCCCCTGAGGACCCGAGCTAGGGTGTGCACTGAGTGAGGAACCAGTGGCAGGGGTGGGACCTGGGAGATTGGCTGAGGTCAAGTTGTGATGGGCTCTTGAAGCTCTGCATGACGGTTGGAATCTACCCTTGGAGGTGGGGCCTGTTCCAGTTTCACACGACAGGACTGCTATTTTAGAAAGATCATTCTGGAGCCAGAATAGAGGATGGATCGGTAGTGATAGAGGGAATGAAACCAGTGACAAGGGGGTCACTGCAGTATACCCGCAGAGGGTCTGGGGGTGTGTGCTGAGAATGTGGAGCTGGAGGTAAATATGTAGATGAGAGATCGAGGAAGGTGACTCATAGAACTTGAAACCAATTGGACATGGAGGTGAGACAGTGCTAGCAGACACTCTCCCACACACCCCTCATGCTTCTAAATATCTCCACAGCCCACGAGCACGGATGAGGTATGCCTCCCACTGGGACTGAGAGCAGGCTTGCTTATTGCCTACTATAGAAGAGGTGGATGGATTCCCTGGGCTTCTTGCAAATTCACTGGGAGGGCAGCATCCACCTGGGCCCTCTGCATTACCCAGGTGAGACTAGGTGGGCAAAGACAACTCATGCAAACAAAATGGTCATGCTGCTTGTGGCCCTGTTTGTAAAGCTGTTTTTGACCTAAGAATCTTGTGTCTTTCACTGTGAAACAGTAGCGTTTTCTAGTCTTTAAGTCACACACTAACTTCTTGCCTTGTAAGCTGGGAAAATCAAATGCCAGCCTGGACAGGGAGAAGGAGGATTTCCGGTTTGAGACACTTGGTACAAAGTGATGAAGTGATGCCATTCACGGGGGGGAGGACGGTGTGCAGGTGTAAGTTAATGAGGTCAGTTTTATACATGTTTGTGTTCTCCTGCCCAGGTGTGGCCCTCGTATGCAGGTCTTGATAATCAGAGCTCACAGATCTGTCAGTAAATTCTGCCCCTAACTGAAACAGGAATAGAAATCCCCAGAATAGAAATCTCATACCCAGCATTCCACTGCAAGTTTTTGGTGTATTCTACTAGGGCCTGCCCAGAATCCAGGTGGAAAATAACCCTAGGAGAACCTGAGTGATGTAAGTTATCAGCTGTAACATATTCATTTTATGTATGTGTGGGGTTTTTTAACCTCCAACAATGCGCTCAAGCAATCCTCCTACCTCAGCCTCGTGAGTGGTAGCTGGACTACACTGAATAGCACAAGCCATCATGCTTGGCTCATTTTTTTTTTTTTTTTTGGAGACAAGGTCTCACTCTGTCACCTGGGCTAGAGTGGAGTGGCATCATTACAGCTCACTGCACCCTCAAACTCCTGTGTTCAACTGATCCTTTTGCCTCAGCCTCCCATGTAGCTGAGACTACAGACTGGCTGATAAAAAAAATTTTTTTTGAGAGGGTCTCACTATGTTGCTCAGGCTGGTCTTGAATTCCTGGCCTCAAGGATCCTTCTATCTTGGCCTCCCAAAGTGCTAGGAATACAGGCATAAGCCACTGCACCCAGCATGCCTGACTAATTTTTCAAAAATCATTTGAGGCTGGCCTCAAACTTCTGGACTCCAGTGATCCTCCCATCTCCACCTCCCAAAGTGCTGACAGGCGTGAGCCACTGTGCATTTGATTAAGTGTGCAGCATTACTCAGTGACCTCAATTCTATCAAGAAAACCTGGTTTGGGGAACTCCTCACAGACATACTACCCTCTTCTCTCTCGGTACTTCTGGTTCCAGAGGAGAATCAGCGATGGAAAAAAAATGCAACCAAGAGGACAGAGGAGTGACAGTGGGACAGAGAACACATCGAAGAGACATTTTCTTTCTGGGCAGGGAATTCAGTGTCTATTACAGCCTTGCGCATATGAGAAGGGCACGATAAAGGCTTGTGAACTCATCCTTCATTTTTTTTTCTTCATCTATTACACCATCCTGAACAATTCATATTTTTATTTTGGTAACCAAAGTTTTGATCCTTTTTTTTCCTTCTGATCATAGATCCACTTGATAAAACAGCTCTGGTTACTTACCTGGTCATTCAAAAGCTGATGATTTAGGGGTGTCCAGGTGCTCATCTTTGTCTGCATTTTGGGACCATCTATGCTTTTTGGAGGTGCAAATGCCATCATGAAATAACTGTATATTATTCCACAAGAAAGACTATACCTATCAGAAGAAATGAACCATATAATTCTCAGAATACTAAAAATATCCATACCATGTATTTTTTTTTTTAGCATGTTATGAGAAGGAATAGATGGGAAGAGCATTTATTGGGAGCACCTTATATGCGTGCTCAATGGAAACTCACAATGATCACTTTCAGCACATTTTTCAGACAATGAAGAGAATGGGGCTCACTGAAGTTACCCCATCCAGGGACACACAGAAAATAAGTGGAACCAGGAGTCAGATCCTGGCCAGTTTAACCCTATTTTCACTGCACCATAGAGTTAAAGCCAGAATCACTCCTAGCTAGTAACATACCACATTGGCCAGAAAGAGTTACATTTAAAATCATGGTGCAATAAAAACACCTCATTCTTGTCCCTCTTCCTCTTAATATTCTGACATCCAAGTAACAATAATTCCAGCCTCTTACTGTCCTTAAAAAGCAGAACGGCATCATGAATGAAGCCAAGGGAAATAGATGGAGTTGAGTTAATTCAGGGAAATTTGCTGTTTTTAGTTATCCAATATACAGTCTGCCTCCTTTGGATTAAAGCGCTTTAATCTTCATGAGGAATTCTTTACCCTCATTGTTGAGAGCCTGCTGGGTCGGTTAATCAAGGCGGCCTGCCCTTCTCTAGCCAAGAGATGGTCATAAAATCGAGTTAGGTCAGTTGGAGTAACAATGGCCTATCCTTATTTTACAGATGAGTGGGCTATTCAAAGTAGTGTTGGTGCCCTGCGCAGACTGTTAAGTTATTCCTGACCGTAGCAACGTCATGAAGCCCCATGTCCTTTCTTGTCCATTTTGTGAGTCACCTGATATCCTTGCAATAAATTCCCTATTTTGCTTATGTTAACTAGAATCTGCTTCTGTTGTTTGCAACCAATTTATTTTTTGTTTACTTTGTACAGGTTTTATCCTGGCTTACTATCTGTGTTAGGTGTACAAAGATAAGAGTCTTACTGTTAGATGTTTCTTTTCATGTCACTTTTCAGCTCAGAAACCTTCATAGTCTCACTGATGGCTAGAGAATCCAGACCCCTTAGCCTGGAAGTCTAGGTGCACTATGATTTCACTTCAACCTATCTTGAAGGGAGGACCTGCCTTCTCTCCCCCCTGCCCTCACATACCCAGCTCCTGATCACTCTGAGAACCCGACACAAAACTCTGATGCTGCTCTGTTTACCTGAATCCTAATCACGGGTAGTTCCTAATAGATGATCAACAAGAAGGAACGAATACAACACTGGAGATGGGGAGAAGAGAATTTAAGGATTCAAACTAGTTGAACTGTAGAGTGAAACTCAGAACATTATGAACTGGGCCCTGCACTGGGTTTTTAGGTGGAGTTTACGGAACAGGGTTGAGTTTCTCTGCTAACACACAATTCATCCTCGTCTGCAATATCATCAGACAAGGTTATCAGGAAATAGGGTATTATATTTAAAAACAAAGAAAGACGTGCAATACAATGCAAAGCGCTAGGGCTTGACAGACATTTGTTTTGTTTTGTTTTGTTTTGGTGGTGGTTAATTTCACAAGGATGCAGTCTCAGGCACTGTAAATGAAGGGGGGGGGGGGCAAAATGTAATCCCTGGAGCACTGCTAAGGCTCCTGAGAGGCCGGGGAGCCCCAAAGACAGTTTCCATCTTTCTCATGCACTGCCCACAGCTCTCACCTCTTTTAGCTCTTCTCCCTCTTCAAGCCTTAAGCGCTGACGTTGCCATAGTTGCGTTGGGTTTGCTTTTTCTTTGACACCCTCCAGCCCACCCCAACCCCTCCCTGCTTCCAACAGACCAATCGCCGTCTGTAAATCTGGTCGCCCGCATCCGGGGTCTCTTAGGCAACAATGTGTGGGCCCTTGATTGGCCGGGAGCTCCAGGAGGGCTGGCTCCAAAACTGGGCAAAGGGACAAAATTAAAACATGTGGGCACAGAGGGGATGGGAGGGACTGCACTATCTTGATCTAACTGTGCGATGAAGATGTGTCGAATCCCGAAACAAGCGGTGTGGCAAATCCGCATCTGTATTGAAGGCATGATGTATGTGTCCCAATGAGCCCTGCTACTGAGCATGCCCTGTTGTACCCCGTCCTGGTCCCTCGGGAGCTCCGAAATGCAGACTCCACTTTGCCAGGTTTTAAGAGCAGCCAACAGGTAAAATAGGGTTGGAGGAAAAATAACTTGCAACTGCTCCAATGAAAGACTAGCGCCTGCAGCAGAAAGTGGAAGGACGTGGGGAATTGTCCAACACAGACCCGCAGATGCCTCAACAGAAATTTCGGTTTATTGGATTTGGGGATTTAGGCGGCTGACAGATACAACGGGGAACCAGCAGATGGCATGCCTTTAACAAGAACCACTGTAAATTTGGGAACTCTTTAAAAAAATCCGGTCTAATTTAATTAATTAAATTCATGGAGTGCCCACCTTGTAATAAGAAACAGTGAGAATACAAGGATAGGAAACAGATCGAATCAGGGGACCGTAAAATGCTGCATATAAGTAACTAATTAATGGAAGGCTCACGGTCCTCCAGCTTTGATAAAAGCGCTGGAGAATAAGAAAATCAGAATTCCAAAACGGAGCACTTTTGGTCCAGGTAAAGCCTTTGTTATGGGCAGCAGCCAACAACAACAAAAGAGAGACTTATTCACTATTTGTTTCCTAAAATAGATAAGAACAGCACTCTTCCTCCACTGTACAAACCTGTGTTTGTCTTGTGCTCCATAGTTTTAAAATAGGCAGCATATGTGTGTCTCCAGTTTAAAAAGGAAAGTGAAGCTCATAGAAGTTGTTTTCCTTAAGTTAACAAAGGATCAGGATGGACAAATTGAAATTAGAGCCTAGGTTGTCTGAATTCCAGCCTAGAGATTTTTCCACATGACCAGGTTGTGTGTAAATGAATAAACAAAGCCTTAGCAGCGGGGCGGGGCGGGGAGGACCTGAGCGGGGGAGTGTGTAGACGCAATACTAAATTACTATGCATCACCAGTTAACATTTATGGTTTCAAAACGGGTTCATCCAGAGAGAGATCAGTTTTAACAAGGTCGAGAGTGCTGTGTCTCTCTGGGAAGTTCCCATTCATTAAAGACTTTCTATGGGTGGTTACAGCATGAAATGAAAGAGACAGGATTATAGAGAGTATCTCACTTTAGCCCTGGTCTCTCTCAACCAACGCCTTTTTTCTGGGCCTCCTCTTGTCTGCACCTCTTTCCCCGATTACTGCTACCCTAGCAAAGGCTGAGCTATACATGCACAACATGCCCACAGTGAGCACACACAGAACTCAATGTCTGTGATATTTCAACATTTCTTTTAAGTGGGACATTTCAAATGCAAGGAAAAGTTTAGAGGCTAGTGGAGTGGCTAATCCCTATAATCCAGGACTTTGGGAGGCTGAGGCAGGAGGACTGCTTGAGGCCAGGAGGGTGAGACCAGCCTGGGCAACATAATAAGACCCCATCTCTACAAAAAAATGTAAAAATTACCAAATGTTGTGATGAGTGCCTATCATCTTACCTACTCTGGAGGCTTAGGCAGGAGGATCACTTGAGTCCAGGAGTTCCAGGACTCAAGGAGTTCCAGCAGTGAGCTATGATGATGGCACTGTATTTCAACCTGGGCAACAGGGTAAGATCATGTCTCTAATTTAAAAAAAATTTTTTTCGGGGCACCTGTGGCTCAAAGGAGTAGGGTGCCAGTCCCATATGCCAGAGGTGGCGGGTTCAAACCCAGCCCTGGCCAAAAGCTGGAAAAAAAAAAAAACTTTTTTTATAAAGATAAATTTATGAAAAAATTCAATTTTCTTTTTTTTTTTTGAGACAGAGCCTCAAGCTGTCCCCCTGGGTAGAGTGCCATGGCATTACAGCTCACAGCAACCTCCAACTCCTGGGCTCCAGCGAGTCTCCTGCCTCCGCCTCCCAAGCAGCTGGGACCACAGGCGCCCGCCACAGCACCCGGCCATTTTTTTTTTTTGGTTGCAGCCGTCATTGTTGTTTGGCGGTCCGGGCTGGGGAATCGAACCCGCCGCCTTAGGTGTACATGGCTGGCGCCTTAGCCGGTTGAGCTATAGGCGCTGAGCCAAAAAAATTCAATTTTCATAAAGAATGCTCTTGATTCTCCAGAGTTTTATTAATGTTAAATTTGTTTAACAGATATTTGTATACTTCCCAGGTCTCAATGCCCTCCCCACCTGCCTAGCGGCAGTCATTAACATAAAATTGGTGTGTAGCATTCTTGTCCATTTTTAATACTTTTATTATACATGCATGTTTACCTTCATAAACAATACACAGTATTGGCAGGTTTTTTAAGCATCATCATTTATATATCTTACAATTTTCTTTCTTCACTCAATGCTGTATTTCTAAGATTTAGTTGTACTGATACATCTGTGATCATTTCTACATCACCACCCAACGTGAGCTATGCCCTTTGCCTAGCCGTCTTTATGAAGGGGTGTTCAAGGCCCGCAAGCCACGTGCTCATTTTGTGAGGACTTTTTAAAATCTGTGGTGTCAGATATAACAAAAAGTATGCATGGGCCTCCCCCCGACCCCAGTCAGCTTTCATTAATATTTGTGTTTTTGCTATGTGGTCCCAACAACCCTTATTCTTTCAATGTTCAGCACAGGAAAAAAAAAAGTTGGACAACCCTGCTACAGGATGGTGTGTAAATTGAATAAAAATGCATCTCTAAAGGTCTTCAGCTACAAAGGATCTGGCACACACCGATTTTCCTATACACCATCTGCCTCCTTGCTCACCCTCAGCAGAGGCACCAATGGCTCCATTGACCTGCCTAGAATTGACCCAAGAATCAATATTATTATTTAAAAAAAAATTGTTACTGCACAAGTGTTTACGTATTAGAAAAATTGAAACTGTCATTTTCCGATGTCATTTATTATGTTTGTTTACACAGCTCACCGTCTGTTGTGAAACTCTGTGTAACCTCTACACTCTTCAATATTTACTTAATATTTATTGAGCACTTTTAAAAACCATTGTAATACACACCTAAAATCGACCATCTTACGCATTTTAAGGGTGCGATTCAATAGTGTTATGGACATTCGCATTGTTCAATATTACTTTAAATCCTGTGTGCAACGGAACAAAATGATGCCAGTGTAGTCTCTTAGGCCGAAAGGAGACGAAAAGAGAAAGGTTAAATGGCGTAGTGAAAAGAAAAACAGCCTTAGCTTGAATGAATCCAGACTTTGTTGTTAAAATGCTGGATGTCTGGGCGGCGCCTGTGTCTCAGTGGGTAGGACGCCGGCCCCCATATCCAGAGGGCGGTGGGTTTGAACCCGACCCCAGCCAAACTGCAACCAAAAAAATAGCCGGGCATTGTGGTGGGCGCCTGTAGTCTCAGCTACTCGGGAGGCTGAGGGAAGAGAATCGCCTAAGCCCAAGAGCTAGAGGTTGCTATGAGCTGTGACGCCACAAGTACTCTATGGAGGGTGACAAAGTGAGACTCTGTCTCTAAAAAAAAAAAAAATGTTGCATGGCTTTGGGTAAGTCACTTAACCTTCTGGGGGTTCTTTTGCTTGACTGAAAAATGAGAGGTTTAGTTTAGGTCATCTCTGAGGATTCTTCCAGCTCTAAAACCATTTATGCAGAAAAGAAGAGGGGACACGTTTCCTAAACAGCATGGTCACTAGTCACTGCAAGCTCCACCTGTTTCCTAAGTAGGTCTTGGCAAGGAGGATCTATTCCCGGGCGAGTACCTTGGTTCTTCCCATCTGCTGTGCTCTTTCGGTGTCGAGGTCTACAACTGACCAGGGACCGACCGCTACCTGCACCAGTTCCACCCTTAGCCCCCGATGACCCCCCTCTTGACCACCCACCATGTTTGGGGCCCCGAGGCTGCACGCGCTTCTCAGACCAGGTTTGGTGGTCTTACAACAACATCCTCCCAAGCTTGGGTGATGCCGAGTCGCCGCGCTGCTTCGGCGGCGGAGGGAGGGCTTCGCAAGGCGGGCCCAGTGCCTTTCAGACAAACACTGCGGGTGCGGGGAAGCTCATGCGTCACCTCGGGCGCCCGGCGGAGAACAACGAACCACGCCGGGCCGGCACCGAGCAGCCAGGCTCAAAACCCGAGCGCCCGCAGCGCGCCTGCGCCGTGCGTGCGCGCGCGCGTGCACTCGTTCCCCGGGCCGCGCGCCCTGGCGCTCGCGAAGCTCGCGGTCGCTCTGAGGCGCGCGCTGGCGGTCCTCGGCCGCTCTGAGCACCTGAGGGACGCGCGGCCGCCCCCGGCCGGCGCTGCAGCCTTCCCTGGAGCCGGGCGCGAGGTCTGAGGTGAGCCCCGAAGCGTGCGGTTCCCCGGGCAGGGCCGGCGGGAAGGGGAGCGGCGGTGTGAGGAATGGGGAGGTGCGGCGTCAGCCTAACCCCGTGCGGAGGAGCCAGCAGCAGCCCGGCACCTCCTCCCCAGGGATCGTTATTCTCGTCGCGGCCAAAACAAAAGCCTTGGGCGCCTGGCGTGGCGGGGTGTCGGAGCGGCTCCTCGGGCCCGGGCCTGGGGCGGGGGTCCGGGGGCCGCGGGGGCGCCGAGTTCGGGGCCGGGGGCTGAGATGGGAGATGCCCCGGGTGGCGGTTAACCCGGTCCGTCCGGAGCCTGCGCTCGGCAACCTGTGCGAGTGTGGACCGCGGCTCGCTCCGCCGCCCCGGCCCAGACCCCGGGGGGCGGCGGGCCCGGAGCCGGCCGGCGCGGGGCGTGGGTGGGCGGACAATGCGCCGAGGGCGCCGCGCCGCCCGGCTCCCGGGGCCGCCGAGACGCGCGCCGCGGTGCCCCGCGCCGCCCGGGCTCATCTTAGCGCTGGGCCCACCTTTTCTATCCGGCGCCCAAAAGTTGTCCCCTCCGGCCCGTCAGTTTGCAAAGTCTGCGGCCCCTTTCCCTGGGCTTCCCCGCCTCCCACCCCTTCGTGGTACGTGCGCTTGCCTGGCGGGGGGGTTACTGCTGGCTGGTTAATAGGCGGCCTACGGAATAAAGGTGCTGTTAAAATTATCGAGCAGTGTTAAGTAGTCTTGGGTCATTTCGAGAATTGTAAACATCTTCCTGGAGGCTTTCACGTCTTGGGAGTCTTGGAGTTGGATATCTCCCATAAGAGAAAGAGGGCTTGAAAAAAAAAAAAGAACAAAAGCCACAAGCTTTAACATAGGCAGAGGAGTAGGTAGTTTAAAGGTATCTACCCCATAAAGGAGGTCCATTTGTTTGCCCAGTGTGACATGAAAATTTGGTTTTGGGGTCCCTTTTGAGTTTAGGTAGGTGCAGCAGCCAAGCGGACCAGCTGCATCCGTGAGTGCTGTGTGAACGTAGTCAAAACAAAATCTTGTTTCGTAGAAGTAGTTTTGATAGACCTGGAAGGTTTGTTCATGGGAATTGATTTGCTTTGCAAAGCTCATACTGTATGGGCAAAGAAACAAAGACCTGATCGACTCTGGGGTTATTGCCTTGCTCCCTCACCCCGTTTTGGCATTAGACACTGGAAAAAGAGTAGAGAGACTTAATTATTTTATTACAAAGCTGTTATTCCTGAAGATAACACTTTCCATCTTTACTTTTTAAACAAACAAATACTATCTTTTTCCTTTAGGAAAAAAGAAAAAAAAAAAACCCACCATCTACTTGAATTGCCAAACCACAACATCAAGGTAAATAGATTGAGTTAGGAAGCATAGGAAAGAGAGGAAAAGCTTGACTGGGTGGGGCTGGAAGAGCTGAAGATGAAGTACAGCCCTTCTCACCAGGCCCTTCCATGCTCCCGCTCTATTAGGAAGATAAGTAAATTATTGATAAAGCCTACTCTGCTGCACTCTTTTTTTTTCTTCATCCACTACAAATAGTTTCTCTTTCTGTTACCTGAATATATGGCAGTGTCCCATAAGTTCTTTCCTTATCTTAGATACTATATTCTTTTAGGTTTTATTTTGTGCTTTGAGCATGTAGGTGGATTTTCTTGTGAGTTTCATGATTGAGATATTTGAAGTAGAGAGGATTGCGGGAATTTAATAGCAAAGCGCACATTCTTTCTTTGTGTGGTACAGAGTGAAAGCTTTGTCATTGGGGAAGGAGAGGAGTTTTTGTGTTGTTTTTTTTTTTTTTTGCTCACATTAGGTTGTATGTTTCCGTCTTGACCCAGCTTATATTTCGTATTAGTTTGATTGTAAAACTGCAAGGTTTTATAGTCAAAACTTCTGAGCATATTAGTTTGGTGGCGTTAGGCTGCTTGTTGACTTTATTGTTTTTTAGGAAGACAGGTGGTAGGGAACAGTTCTTATTACCACATCTCTGCCTTCTTTCACAGGGTTGAGTGGTTTTGGCCTCAAGTTTTCTTGTTTTGTTTTTTTTTTTTTTTAAGTCTCAGGACTCTGGAATTAGGTCTGATTAAAGCCACAACTGTGCCCAAAAAGAGCAGTAAGATAAAAAGATGTCGAGAATACATTCAGTATAGATTAGAGAAAAGCTACAAGCAAGGTCTTGAGGAAAGAAACGAAGTTTTCAGTAGTGATATTTCCATAAAGAACAATGTTGGAAGAATAATAACTCTTCACTATGAAGGAAAAAGTTTAAACTATTATGTCAGAAATGAATTCTCTCTTTTTACTTTCCAAATCATCATGCTGAGGAGTATTTGGTGGATTTAAGGACTGTGTTGCAAATGAAGCTTGATATAAATATAACAAGGCTAGTGGCCCTGAGAAACCAGGTTCCATTCCTCAAATTTTATGTCAATGAAATAATTCTGTACAAAGCATATAGCCTTGTTAAGAGAGAAAAAGCACATGCTTGATATTAGTGAATTTTTGGAACATATTTTAATAGGAAAGCTAGCTGGGGTTTCAGCCTCTTTTTTTTGGTCCGTCCATAATCTATTCATTTTGTAACTCTTTTGTTTTATTTTCAGGTTAATTTTAAAAGATCTTCTCTTTTCTTTAGTCTTAGTCATTAACAATTATTGAATTTTGATGCCTACTATCATTTATTTTAATTTTAAACCTTTGTGTGTAAACACTGTCACTCAACATGTTAGGTTACTTTAACTTTTAATCAGTAGATGACAAGATGGACTTTAAAAATGAGATGAAATAGAAAAGGTCAGAAAAGAGATACTCTGAAATTAATCTAGGCCCTATGACTATGAAGCTGTCTAAACTTTCTTGTTGCAACCAGGAGGCAGTATTTTGAGAACCAATTTTTTTATCTAGAGAACAGAGGACCAAAGACTACAAAGATTTTAGGAAAAGGAAAGTAACACTGTAGTAATGCGTATACTTTACGAATATACTTGACAGAAGAAACTTACTTAGAGGTTGTCATTGCTAATCCTTGCATTGCATTCTTGGAAAACGTGTCTGAAAGAAGACAAAGAATATCCCTCCTGTTCCCACTGTAGCCACTGTGTATCTGGCATTTAATTTGAGTGGTATTTTTGAATTGGAAATGCAAAATGTTACCTGTGTTTGTAGGGTATCAAGAAAATGAAATCTAAAGGGAATAATAAAATGGATCCCTTTCTGTAGAGAAAGTTCAAATCGGAATAGAATTCCTTTTGTTGCAGAACCCCCTTGACAGCCCCTTAGGGCCCACTTTTCTCATCTCCTTTCTTCTGAGATTCAGCCTGCTTTCCTCATCACAGTTGCCACCTCCTGCTTCCCCCTACCCCCATCCAGTTCTTTGCTCTGGCTTTGTAGCTAGCCTTGGAAAATGGTCTTTCAAGATTATATCCCCTCCCTTTATTGCTCTCCTTCAGGACAAATACTCAGTTGATTTTATTTTAAGGGCTTTTACTTTTTATCAGAAGAAAGCTGATAAATAATAATTGACGAATATCAGGTTCCTGATGTTATGTGTTCATAAAAATAGGAATGTATAGGTTTAAAAGCAGTTCTTTTTGTTTTCTGATGGAATGTTAACCAAGTAACTTAATCTGAAATCATTTTTCCAGACAGATACTTAATATTGCTGTGTGGAGAAGTGAATGTTTCTCTTTTCCTACAGGTAAGGTGTGAACAGCTGTTGCCATAGCACTCGCTTTTTGCTGGGCCTTGGCCTGTAAAGCTGTTTTCTCCAGTTATGTTAACCCAGCAGGTCCCTTTTTTTGGTTGACATACTATAGATTCCTGTACTTAAAAACTGCTAACGTCAATAACGATGCAAAAAACAACTGTTAACTTTTATTTAATGAGTTTCTATATTTTAATCAAATGCCTTTTTTTTTTCCTTTGAAACAGTTTCACTTTGTCACCCTTGGTAGAATGCTGTAGTGTCATAGCTCACAGCAACCTCAACCTCCTGGGCTGAAGTGATTCTCTTGCCTCAGCCTCCCAAGTAGATGGAATTACAGGCATCGGCCACAATGACTGTTATTTTTTAGAGATGGGGTCTCATTCTTGCTCAGGCTGGTCTTGAACTTGTAAGCTCAAGCAATCCACCTTCCTCGGCCTCCCAGAGTGCTGGGATTACAGGTGTGAGCCACTGTGCCAAGCTTTGATAGAATGTCTTTGGGTCTAGAATCTTTGCTGTGTCTTGCAGGTCTAGAGCTTTCAACTTAAAGCATTTTCATGGATGCCCTACTTTAGGAAAAATGGCACACTCATACAAGATCCCAATTAGAAGCATAGATTTCATTATGTTATTGAAGAGTAATTTGGAATATGTTTCAAAAATTTACAGCTGGGTGCAGTGGTTCACACCTGTAATCCCAGCACTTTGGAAGGCTGAGATAGGATGATCACTTGAAGTCAGGAGTTGGAGGCTACAGTGAACAGTGATCCCACCATTGCACGCCAGCACAGTGGCGAGAGTGAGACAGTGAGATGCTATCTCTGGGGAAAAAAAGTTTTTTGTTTTTTTTTTGCAGTTTTTTGGCTGGGGCTAAGTTTAAACCCACCACCTCTGGCATTTGGGGCTGGCACCCTACTCCTTTGAGCCACAGGCACCTCCTGGAAAAAAAAAAAGTTTTTCGGCTCATTGCCCATAGATCAGTGGTTAAGGTACTGGCTTAAGGTTTGAACTGGGCCCGGGCCTGCTAAACAAAAAGGACAACTGCAACAAAAAAAATAGCTGGACCTTGTGGCGAGCACCTGTAATCTCAGCTACTTGGGAGGCTGAGGCCAGAGAATCATTTAAGTCCAAGAGTTTGAGGTTGCTGTGAGTTGTGACGCCACAGCACTCTACTGAGGGCGACATAGCAAGATTCTGCCTCAAAAAAAAAAA